AATTTTGCCCGTGTGGCGGCCGAAGCCTACTCTTATCGATTTTAGAACACCAAGGGATCTTTAACGTGCGCAACTTGCACACGGGACCTCCGAGATTTTTCGCTCTTGTCCGAGAAGGCTAGGTGTAGATCTTTCCTACCAGAAGATCAGGGGTGTGGCTGAAAGACAGCAGTAAGAAGAAGCGAAGGAGTAGCAGTAGAAAGGCTGCAGAAAGAATCCGGAGCCCAGAGGAAGGTACAAAGAAGGTGTGGGTGGTTGGCGGGTGCTCTGGTGTGGTTTGCTCCTTCTTTCCTATCAAACATCTGTCGTCATTATCTCCCCTCCTTCTTTTTTGTGTATGTTACTCTCCTGTTACACATCTATTCTTCGGCACTTATATGACCTTATTGTGTTGCAAGTGCCGTAAATCTCTTACTAAAACTAAACAAAGAAGGTGAAGGGGTGGGGACAGACAGAGGAGACGAAAGCAGACGACAGAACATTGCCAGAGAGCAGGAAATGAGGTGAAAGGAGACAAATTTAGAGAAGAAAATTTTTCGGTCGCTACCCGGATTCGAACCCCGGACCTTTGAATGAGAGGCCAACACCTTAACCTCTAGGCCACGAGAGCCCCCGCTGAGTTTCTGTGTGAAATTCTTATCACGCACCGCACTATTAAATGTTGTGAGTGTCATTTTAAAACAAATGTGAGGCAGCGTGGTGGAATCAGGCGCTCGTCAAAATAATCAAAGTGAAGAAACTTGCATTTTTCCGCAGGTTTGTGAATTTTTATCAAACTTTTGTTTTTTGGCTAAACGCCTTTCATGCCCATTAAAAAACTCATTTCAGTGTGGATTTTTCAGAAAAACGTTGATTAAAAGCACAAAAGATGAAAATTTTCAGTTACCACGGACTCTTAAGCTAAGGAAAATAACTAATCTTTGGCGGTCATTTTCTCAGTAATTTTACTTCTGAAAACAAGTGACCCCCACCTTCTTCTTTCGCAAATATCTCGACTTGTATTCAAGATAAAAGGATATATTTTTCTTCGAAATAAAGACAAGTGAACAAGCTTTAAGATGATACCAATAACTCTACAGGCCCAAAAATTGACGAGAGCCTGATTCCACCACGCTGCCTCGCAATTGACGAGAGCCTGGTTCCACCACGTTGCCTCACAACTGATGAGAGCCTGGTTCCACCACGCTGCCTCACAATTGACGAGAGCCTGATTCCACCACGCTGCCTCACAATTTTGACGAGAGCCTGATTCCACCGCGCTGCTTCACAAATGGGCAAACAATAGGTTGATGATTTTTTTCTACACATAATGTTTTACAGAACAATTAGTTTCATGAAGTGCGTAGTAGAGGAAGATTAATGATCAGTATAAGGTTTGGCAGAGTTTGTGTTTCTGTTTTGTGTTGTGCGTGTGCGTGTGTGTGTGCGTGTGTGTGTGTGTGTGTAAGTGTGTGTATGAGTGTGTGTATGTGTGTGTATGAGTGTGTGTGTTTGTGTGTATGAGTGTATGTGTCTGTGTGTATGTGTGTGTATGAGAGAGAGAGAGAGGGGGGGAGAGAGAGGGAGGGGGA